GGAAGAGCACATGTGAATCTGGCCAATCCCCGTGGAAAAGTAAGACAAACAACACTGCGGGAGCCAATCGTTGTCAGACACCGTGAAACAGCATGGCAGAGGGGCGTGTAAAAGCGGGCGTTGTCACTTTAGCTCGTGGGCATTGCAGCCAATGGATAACGAGTTATATCAGAAAGCAACCACTCATGACGCGCGAGTCTGTAGTGTTGAAACTGTGTCCATTACGGCTCTATATAGTGCTGTTTGTTGAATGTTAATTAGAACCAAAATGGCCGAAGAAGTCCTTCAGTGGCAGTCAGTCCCAACCAGTTCCTATGAATGACGGCTTGAACACCCAATAGCAGTATGATTTGTGAGGTTCGGTACCCAACCACATCGCAGCACACAGTGGTATAATACAGTAGTTAGTTGTTCAGATCAACAAGCCGCTATTTTGGAAGCAGTTTGACAAACATTCACTGTTCTTCAGTTGATCTCAGCGGCTACCTGTTTCCAACGAGACGTATCACGCGTGATCAGCGATAAACCAGCACAAAACTAGCCAGCCTCATTGCCCCGAACGTATAAGGTTGGATGATATCGTCGGTCGAGCTGTAGGGCAGCTAGTTCATTTTTCTATTTCATATGAGGCAAGTTTGTGACAACGGAACAGCCAGCGTTCTTCTTTTTTGATTGGCTGAATCTTTAACGTTACACTACACAAACGGGCTAGCATAAACTTTTCATCTTTAATTTGGCAACTTGTCAATAGCGCTAACGTTAGCCAACCTCTTGTTTTTTGCCAATACAACAGTCCAATACTTCACGTGTTTTATGTGAAGCAACTCATAGTTTTGTTTTTGTAAACAAGGCGCTTTTCGACGAACTACCTATAAAACTAAAGACATTTAAATAACTGTTTGCTTTTAAAGAGGGGCAAAGCCTTAGCATCAGCCTTGTCTAGCCAGCTATCAGAAAACGCTTACCTGAACCATTTTAACAGTCATTAAGGAAGAGAATTGTTTGGCTTCAATACGAATTGGTGCTGTGTTCATGACATTTAACTTTTAAACAGCCCGTTTGACACACTGCAGGAGTAACTCTTTAGTGTTACCTCCTGCCTTTTAAAACAATCCCTAACACAACAGTAAGCCACCCGAGAGCCAGTGGTAGACCTCGAGCAGGTTGTGTGCAGCCACGGAATCCCTCATCGGATTGTTACATTATCAGTGTTATTGTTGAAAATGGCGGCGATCGGAATGGTGCAGATGTTGATCGAAGCAGCCGAATACCTTGATCGCAGGGAACGAGGTAAAGTATGTTTGTATTGTTTACTACGACCTGTTTTATTTCTGAATACCCACATCGACCCCCCTTCCCGTCACTTTCATGTATGTATGTAGCTGTCATGACTTTTTCTTTTATATCCAGTAATCGGGCTATGCATTAAATACATTACGTTATCGGTTCTGCAAAATACAGCAGAATTCATCGCATGCCCCCCAAATAAGGCGTTCGTCAATATTCATGTATTTCTGGGATATACACGTGCATTTGCATTTATGATCCTGAAAAAAACAAAAAAAGCATATGTGGCATATGCAGTCAGATGTTCAGGGACACATTGTTTTCATCGAGGACGCTCCTATCCTTCTGTTGTGGTTTGCTTGTGGGGTTTACTCCACTTCAAGATGACATCATTGCCCAGGCTGAGGGGAGGAAATAACGTTAGTGTTTAAAGACATTGCATGAAAACTATGAATTGCATGTGTGCACTTCAGCACAAGACATTTCCACTGAATTCCATTAGGATCAGATGTGACACATTTTGCAGTCAACCTATTCGTGGTTTGGCATCTTTTTACTGTAGCTATATTTTGCATTGCCATATATATATGGACATGTGACCACTGTGTTGTTTATCTGCTTGCAGAAGCTGAACATGGCTATGCCTCCATGCCACCCTTTATCAGCAGTCGAGAGAGGGAAAGCTTGAAAAGGAAAAGTAAAAGCAAGAAAAACACAAGTAGCAGGTAAAGGCTATACAGCTCCAAACACTACACACCTAAGTGTTTTTCAGCATTGCAACAAGCTGCCCGTCATGTCCCCACTTCAAGTGTTTCCCCACTGATGCAGTAGAATTGAACCATTATTTCCAGATTTGTTAGTTTTTCATGTCATAGCTATAATATTCTGATTGTGATGGCACAGCCCCATATTTAACCATGTTTAACATTATTGTTTATTTGGTTTTGTGTGTTTTGGTGCTCTACCAAAAAACCCCCAAAAAAACAAGGTAATATAGTATTCAGTTCACCACCTGCATCCAGAACTGTGGAAAATGGTGTGGGTTTTAAGATGGCAGCCAAGTTATTATCTACATATTTACTTAGATGCATATGTACTATATTTAAAATTATGAAGATTTTGTGAGTAACACTATGGTGTTAATCACACCAGTGTGAAAATTCTCCCACTTATACTACTGTTTGTTTTTGAAGGACATAGGCCTATATGGTGGCTTCAGAAAGTATTCAAGTCTAGTGCTGGGTATTGAACTTAAGTACTTTTATGGCATCGATCAAATTACTTGCATATCATCAAGTATCACAAAATGTTGAATATTGAAAAATTCTTTTCTACATCTTGAGTGCACAAAAATGCCAAGGAATTGAAAAATAAAACTAATGATCTGTAAAGGTATCTATCTTTTCTTTTTGCACTCTTCATTTTAAACTTCATTTTTAATGGGGAAAAAAAATACTATTTTAGCCCATCTGTCTACTCAAGAACCCACAATGACAGAGTGAAAACATGTTTTGAAAATGTATTAAAAATCAAAAACTGCAGTCTCTCATTAAAAAAGTATTCAGACCCCTTGCTGTGCCACTCCAGACTGTGGCCATGGGGATCCTGTGGCAAACTGAATTGACCGGGTTTGCTGTCATTTGTGTTTACACACAGCTCACAATGGAAAAATGTTGACACCCGTCTGCTAACACCTCCCACCTAATTTTCTTCATACCTAATTCCTGTTTGACACAACGCCACAGATAGGGTCCTTGAGCCTTAAGAGCTGTGGTTGCATGTGTACATGTGAGTTTTTTGGTGTGAAGTAACATTTAGACTTCCCTTTGTCCTTTTTAAAACCTGTGACTGACAGCAGCAAACATCAGTATGGCTTTAGGTGAATGGGCACTTGGTAAGGCAAACTGGGTCAAGGTCAGGGGGACTGCAGAAGACATTTTGGTGATGGAGCAGCTCTAGGCATCTCAGTGGACACCACTGTACACATGTAGAGTACAGTCTATAACTAGAATTCCACAAATCAAGCAGCAACCTTAGAGGCTGAGAAATGAAGGCAGTACGGAAGTGCTAAAACCTGCAGTTCCTCGAATGGCTGCTTGAGGCTGGCTCCAAAAGTGAGTCAATCTCCATAGACTCCCAGTTTAAAATGCCCAATTTTACAGCAGAAATAAACATGTTTACAGCCTGGTACAAAAATGGTTTTGGCCTCTATAGCTAATTTCCCCTTCCATAACAACTGTCTGTCTGCCACGTTTGGCTGTTCCCGTTAGGGGTCGCCACACTGACGATTCACGTTTGAATTTTTGGCATGTGTTTTTTACCGGATGCCCTTTCTGACGCAACCCTGAATTGAACTCGGGCTGCAGCAGTGAGAGCACTGAATCCTAGCCACTAGTCCATCAGGGACCCCCCTTCCATGACAACTTTACAGGAGTGAATTTTTATTTATTTAACTTCCCTTTTTTAAATTATATTGAGACTAAAATTTATGCATAATTAAAGTCATGGCCACTCTGAGTAATAGGCGGGAGGGACCTGTCACAGGTGGCTAGCTGCTAGTTGTCTAGCGAGCTCCACTCATGCTCCATCCAATTTTGGATTAGCTGTAGCCTGTATCAGGCGGAGTGAAGCACTACCAGTATGGCAACGGCCAGACGTGAGATTCAAAGCGGTGTGATTAGACTGTAGTTTGGTTTCATGATCCTGTACAGGAGGATATGTGTGCATTCCATGTTTGTGTAGTCAGTCAGGAGCAGTACAAAATGTACACATAATGAGGTAATTGTAAAATTTGTCTCTTTTGAACATAACACTTCTCAGTGCATTGATTGTTTCGGTGGAGAGGATGATATAGCTACATGATAAAAGGCAATGTTAGTTGAAACATATGCTCTATGTCCTAAAACAATTCATGGAGTATGTTTGTAGCCACTGTGTGCACATGAAAAACCTGAAGAAAGAAACACCTAGTTAGTGCAGACTCAGGCAGTTAATTCATATACATAACGTAAATGCCATATTTGGTGGGATGCAGTAAAAATGCTACAGTATGATGCACCAGAGTTTACAGAGGAGTAGAATAGCTGGTGGGTCAGCAAATGCACATTAACCCATTCCGATTGATTGTATATTTGGGTTGCCCCCACATCAGGTGTGTCGGCCATTAGGCACACTAGTCCACATTGTCATCATCCGCTCTCCACTGAATGTTCTCCTCTGCCAATTTGATGTGTGAAAAGGAGCATGCATAGTGCACGAACTGAAGTATATAAATAGTGTTATGCTGTATATAGTCTTCTTGACATGGAGGTCAGGAAATGTAGACAAGTCAGAGAAGGAAGCGGGTATTAAAGCTGGATATATACTGGGTTATGTATGGATATTAGACAAATCAAAGCTTTAAAATGTTACATTCCCTCATTGGTTAGTGTACTTGATGAACAGGAATCCTCTTTACATATAATGTATCTGTTATACACAGATGTTTCTGTTCCATACCTTTGCACTATCTACATCTCAGTGTGTTGATCGCAAGTAAGTTATTTTCATTATTGGTTAATCGGTTACTTATTTTTTCAGGTTTGTTCAGCTTTTAATGATTCTGTTAAGCTCTTAGACTCCAAGGTGGTATCTTCAAATGTCTTTTTTGTCTGACCAACACTCCAAAACTCAGCAATATAACAAGTCTCTCGACTCATCATTTAATTGGCTTATCTGCTCAGCTCAAATTGTCTGTCAAAATTTAAGAAATCGGACTACCTGCATTTGCCTTATTAATGAACTTCATAAACAGCAATGTATTCTTCATTCATGGTGTATATACTGCATACAGGATGTATGCAGAAAAAATGGCTCTTTGTAAAAGGAACTGGTGTGTGTCAAGTATTTTGTTTAACCTGTTGGCCAAGATAATGATGACTCCCTTGAGCTCAACAGCGCTGTCAATGACACTGACAAATTTGTAGTTTTCTTCCACTGTCTCCATGCACAAAAACACAGGGTCTCCATGCACAAAAACACAGGATGTGGAGTGCTGCAACGATGTACTTGTTTCCAGCTCTTGTTTTAACATGCTTAGGTGGCAACACATTTTCAGTCATGCCTAGTGAAGAAAATATTGGGCGAGATCAGTATGTCACATAGAGCTGCTGCAGGTTTGTCCTTGTTTCTAGTCAGAAAACCTTTTAGCTTATATACCAGTATTAACTTTTACCATTTTTTGCTGTTTAACTACAATGTTACATTCACCTGCACCTGTGAGCACCTGATCAGCAACTGCTCATTACTATTTAAAGGCAGCAGAGCCACAGTTGTTATTAATAAGGGCTTCAGAACACCCTAGATGATTTGATATGACCTGCTATGATGCTGGCTCTTGCTCATCAATAGGCAGACCAGCACTATGACCGAATGGATTTGAAGGAGAAGAGCAGATCATTCATTGATCAGCTTTTTGTCCTTGTTTTTATCAAGACTCGGTGAACTGTAGGACAGGCAGCCATGTATGCTTTCTCAGTCAGTCAACTAGTGTCTACAAGCCCCTCCAGTTTTTATTGTTTGCCATAGTGTGGATGTATGAGTAGTGGGGGAGGGGAGTCACCATGTTTCTTGTGTGCACGAGTGTCAGTAGTAGAAACGCCCCCTCCCTTCCCCTCATATCTCTCTCTCTCTCCCCTCACCTCCTCCACCTCTCTGTGTGTTGTTCTGTTCTTTCTCTTGGCAGGCAGTGTGGAGAACACCAGCTCCTCCATTACATAGATGGAGAGAGTCCTCCCCCACTCTGCACACACTCTGTACAACTACAGTGCACTATGGAAATCATACAGTGATCTTGCTATCCTTGTTGAGCAGGAAAATGGAGTCTTTCTGTGCTCAGCACTGTGTGTTGTTATTAAGGCTAATGTGGTTGGCTGGAGCGAGGCTACAGCAGGGCTTCACGTGGCAAAATACAGGCTAAAGGTAGATTACTGTCATCCTAGAATCTGAGCCATAGATGAAGTCTGTGGAAAGACGCGCTGGTGAATGTTTTTTATTTTTATTTTTTAAACAGTTCAGTAATGGAGCTATCAGGTATAATCTACACCTCAAGAACCCCTGAATAGATAATATACCATGTGGGAAGACTATGGGACCACTATAGGAAGACTGGGGGTTGAATTTACTGAGCTGCATTACTCTGGATATGACCTGGGACTCTCTTAAAGAGAAGGACAGGTTTTATACAGTCATCTCATGATTTTTTTCTTCCCCACCCCTCTTGTGAAAAAAAAGTGACGGAAGTCTATACCAGCTAGCAGGCAAAATGCATGATATAAAGTTTGGATGTAGCAAAGTATTACTAGTCCCTTTTGTGGGCTGCCAGTAACCACAGAGTTTGTTGTTGTGGTATAGAGGACATTTGTCTAGTGAACTAATGAAAGTCTTGATACATAGACGGGGACAATATTCTGCAGAGGATTAGTTAGTCAGAAAATGATGTAATATAGTACTATGAGGAATCAGTGTAATGATATGGAGTTAGAGAAAACCTCATACATTATTAAACATTATACCCATCATGGGTGTGTTGGGTACTGGAGGTGCAGAAGGTTACTGGACTAGGGCAGGAGGTGGGAAGACTCTCTCAGCCTCAATTTAGTGGGATGGTTTCCCTGCTAGCACTGTTATGTCAGCAGCAGCTATCTGCCCTGCACAGGAATGCACCCTGGTTGGAGGGGGCCAAGTGAACCAGAGAGCACCCAGAGGGACAAACTGGAACAAGATGATACCCCCACAGTGTCACACACACACACACAGAGGCAAAACACGCATTGCTGAAGGCAGTATTTCTAAGCTTAGTCTTGAAAGTACTGTAAGTTGTCAAACATGCAGGAGAATAGAGGTGTGTGTGTGTGTGTGTGTGTGTGTGTGTGTGTGTGTGTGTGTGTGTGTGTGTGTGTGTGTGTGTGTGTGGGAGTGGACGACAGTCCTCTGAGGATCTTGGCCATGGTATGATGACAGCATCAAGACTAGCAGAGCTGAAGGTGCAAGGCTATTTTGGGCCCTGGGGTGGGGCAATTTAGAGGTTAGGTGGAGGTAGAGTAATTCGGAGTGCATTTTCCCCTCAGCCTTCAGCCCCTCCAGCCCCCACTACACCACTCACTTAACCCTTTTCCCACAAGTCAGACTAGCACATTCCTCCAAAAACATTCCTACACTTGACCCTGTCTCTTGACTCTCTCCGTCTGTCTGTCTGTGTTTTCTGTGCGTGCCACTTTAACACTGCAATGCAGGAGTCATGCTGGCCTCTAGCAAAACCCCATCTCTGTTTACCTTTGCTGTCTTCCCCCACCCCCAGCCCGATGAGTTCTACATGCACAGTAGATAATCGGGCATATTCCCATGTACTTCCTGCCCCTGCGTGCTGTTTCTAGTTACCGTTACTATGTTTACCCCTGGCCCCCTTGTCAAGTAACTGTATGCGAGTTTGGTTCTTTAAAAAAGCGTGTTTCCTCTGTAGCACAAGCCTCGGGCATCAGAATAACCAGGCTTTTCTTCTTTTTCCTCAAATCTCACTCTGTCAGTGTTCTGGCTGCTCCTAAACTCCCACACAGCCTCATTTCTCTGCCTCAGTCCCCTGCAGTACAGCCTTGGACTCCTGTGATGGCACACACAGGGGGGAAGCCTTCCCCTGTTCAATCAGTGGCTGAGTGATTGGGTGTTCTGTCATTATCTCATATGTATTTTCTTTTATCCCCACAGGTCTACGCACAATGAAATGGAAAAGAACAGGTATGTAAAAATGTGTTTGTGTTTGCATGTTGGTGCCTTAGTTTTGAAGAATTGCAACTCACAGCACTGCAGCCCTCCCCCACTGCCACCACTAACTGCACATGATGAGTTGTCATTGGAAATATTTCCTTATATCACATTGTTCAGAATCACTGTTAAGTCTGGGTGATTATCAAAGGAAATGGAAAATTAAAAGAGAAAATGAAAAATGTATAATTATTCTGGTAGCACTCAGGATAATCGGGCAAGCTGTTAAAAACAAAGTATTTTGTAATGTTATTATGCTAAACCAGTCTTATAATGACAGAGATTGATTGTATAATGATGCTCTTGGTTCAGAGCTTTATTTGGTTCTTCAGCCCCTTCTGAAGCTGATGGTACAAAGGAGGTGTCATGGTTGTATCAGGTGACTCCGTGTGCACTTTGGCGACTGAGAGCAGCTGATCTGGTTTCATTAATTTACACCTAGGCTGTCTCAACAACATTTTATATAGCTGGTAAATGAATGCTCTGTTTGGACTGTGAATTCATCAGTCCCTTTATTACTTGTCCCATCTACTTCAGTTGATTGTCAGGTGTGTAATGAAAAGGCAGTGGTTATCCAAAGGCAAAATGACACCAGAGATTACAGCTTCAATGGTTAATCAATTAGCTGATTGACATAAAATCAAAGCAGAACTTATTTTGACAATTTAAAAATAGTTTTAGACATTTTAAAAGCAAAAATGATCACTGGTTCCAGCTTCTCAGTTGTGAAGATGTGCTGCATTTTTGTAGCATAGGAAGGCAAACTGAATATGAATATATATATGTGTGTGTGTGTATATATGTATATGTTTAGCATCTTCTTGGCTTATGGGAAACTATAATGTGCAGTTTTCACTATATTCTGACACTTAGTGGAAAATAACTATTTTATCAAGAAAAGAAAATAATCGCCAGAGTAATCACTATTAGTTTCAGCCCGATCTGCACTGAAAGCCATTACTGATAGACAGCAAGGTGACAGCCAGGTATTCAGTATGCATTTGAAGAGAGATGAGTAGCGTATTAATATAGTATTTTTATTATGACTTTTAAAAAATTGCTTTTGAAATACAAGGCTGAGGGACTGTAAGCTAATTTATCACAAACACCTGAGCTACTGTATGTAAAGTTGTGGCTAAGATTAAATCCTGTTAATAGCACGCCACATGCGTTTTTATTGAGCCCAAACAAAACCTGGTGCTGTTTTTCAGTACTTCCTCATGCAGACATTTTAGGCCTGCATATGAATACATTTTTTTGTGTGCGTCTGTGTGCTGTAAGAATCCACTATCACTGTCTGTGCTCCCATCCTCCCTGTGCTAGCTGATCCAAACCAGCAGCTCAGTGGACAGCCTGAATAATATATGACACTGAGGCCTCTTGCCTGCATGTATGTGCCTGAGCGTGTGCGTGGAGACATGTCATGCCCAGCAGCAAGTCGAAAGGATGACCACAGCCCGTCATACTACACTTGAAGTCATTCATAGCCTTTAGCCTGTTTCTCCCACCAGTAACCTGATGATGGAAAGCCATCGCAGGCAGACAGTAAATTATGACCATCATTCATAGCCTTTAGCTATCCAGTAACCTGATGATAGAAAGTCATCGCAGGCAGACAGTAAATTATGACCCAGTGCAAACAAAGACCACTTCCAGCAATACTGGCTCAGTGCTCAGTCCTAATCTGTAGAATCCTTCCACAGAAATGTGTACGTCTACATAACACAACACCAGGCTCCACCATGCCTTTGTTTTTTTCTTGCATGCAAGTTCCTCCCAGTTCGTCATGGGCAGTTACTATGATGAGGGTGAGAGTGCGAGAGCAAGTACAGTGGGGTGATTTACTGCTGCTCAGGCAAAGTACATCACACGGACCTACAGTAGTTATAGCTATGGTAGGTGAGATGCTTCTATAAGGGAAACCGTTTGAGACCCACCTATAGCATGTTTGTCTTGCACATTTATTTTAGAACATACAGGTCTACTCAGACCGGTCATGTCATTTGAAAAATACACAAGTGTGAAATTAGGGCAAAGAAATGTTTGTTCTGGCCTTAGGCTGATTGCACACACACCTGTAGCTCCAAATACTGCACGTAACCACCTGTTGACGGTGCACTAAGGCCACACTGGGCCAGAGTAACCTGCTGCTACAGCAACGCGTTGTGTTACAGCCATGCATGTAGTGTGTTCTCTCACAGAGACACCATGTGACCTGTGCTGTTTTGTGAGTCTTCTGCTCGCCATTGCTGTTTAACAAACATTATCTAGCCCTGCCCGTCCCTTGTTATGTCAGAACAACACATGCCAGGGCATTTTCATGTTATGTAATGGCAGTCAGTGTGCCCTTTGGACTGAGTCAGCTGAAAAACAGGCACTTAGTTTCAGCTGCTGAATACTGCTTTGTATATTCATGTGTGGGCTTCATTTGCAGTGTGTGTGCTTTTAAAAGGACAGGGTAAGAATATATTTGTGTGCATCATCTGCCCACATTCACATCAGTCCTCTCCTTTCTGCAATTTGAATCAGGCAGTGACGCTCACATCAGGATTACCTACAGCAGACAATAAATGAAGAGCTCGCCCATCCAGCCCTCAGCCACCGAAATAACATTTTTACACTCGTTCTCAGGAAGAGTCTGACGTACACACACCCACTCAGGCACACACAGGCATACAGACACGTACACACTCCACTGAGGCCGGAGCTGGAGGTGTGTGTTGTGTAACAGTGGGGTCAAGTGGTCACAGACACCCACCAGACCTTAGCAGCTGCCAAGGCTGCCAGACTAGATCAGCTGAGAGCGATACGAGAGGAGAGGAGAAATGCAAATGTGAACTGCGGAGATGTTACAGGACAAGTGACGTTAATAGTTCAGATTTGAGCTTATGCCACAGATGAGCTTTGGATTTCACCACATTTTTGTCAAGGGCAGAGTTGTACATCATTGCATGTAACAGCCAAAATCTCTTACTCACTATTGATGATTAACATTTAGCAACTGCATCTAAAAGCAGAGGGAACAAAACACAGAGAAAATGCAAATAGCTCATGATATTATTTCTTGGTTCCTTTTTTCTTGATTGGCGATGCCACGACTCTATTCTCCCTGTTTCATTGTTGGAAGAGGAACTCCACCCAAACAACAATAAAAAAAAAGTGCTGCAAAGCATTTTGTGGCTCCACACGGAGCTGTGCAAAATCTGAAAAAGTGCCTCAGGTGATGTTACTTGAATCAGTGTCAGTTGGGGCTGAAAACTACTGTGCAAGTTTGGAAATGAAAGAGCTGTGGAGGAGTGGAGCTCACCAGACCCCTGTAGCCTGCTCCTCATCTCTGCTAGGGGGCTGAGGCTACATTAGGCACTGCTCACATAACACACCAGGATACCTGACAACTTTTGGTCATCATGTTGTATTGTGGGTAATATAGGCACAAGGTTCTGTTGAGCAAAAAGCCCTTTTTTTCAACAAAACATAAAATTATTAATAACTGACTCTTATAAGGACAGAATCTAGATATTTTTCAGTTCAAAAGTCAAACTGCTGGACACTGTCACGGTGAAATCCGTTTCTACTGTATGTACAGTGCAGGTTCCAAATGTCCAGGGCAAACTTGTGTAAACTGCATAATGAGCCATGATTGGCTTCCAGGTTGTGTCACAAAATCCTGCTCATGTGTCCACATCTTTATAGCTAAGATTTGATCACAGATAAACTCTCCCCCTTCAGCAGATGAATGTGAAACTCTTAACACACATTGTGCACTGTATAGTTCAAACATCTAAGTGAAGTAATAGTTAGCAAAACACATTTTTAAGTTGAGGGGGACATTGAAAAGTTTGACTTTTTTTGTAGAAAAATAAGGTGTTACAACAGTACAGGTTGACAAGTACCCCAAGTCGAGAATGAACTGCCTGTGTTGGGGCATCTTCAACAAGGAGAAACGTAATGATGTGTGACATGGTCTTCTTCTCTGTCTACAGACGGGCACATCTACGGCTGTGCTTAGAGCGCTTGAAATCCCTTGTTCCCTTGGGACCAGATGCTAACAGGCACACCACCCTCAGCCTGCTGATGAAGGCCAAAGATCACATCAAGGTGCGTGCATGCATGTGTGTAGTATTTGCCTAGTGACAAGGGCAAAGGTGTTGACTTCTGCGGTGGTTAAGTGCGTTAATATCATGTACCTGAAATGTCTTAGATAAGCAGCTAATAGAACACACACAGAGCAACATTTTGGACAGCTTGTCCTACCCAGTGTTTTGTTTTTCCCACCTGCAGAGGTTGGAGGAGAGCGATAGGAGAGCTCAGCACACCTTAGAGCAGCTACAACGGGAGCAGAGACACCTGAGGAGGCGTTTGGAGCAGCTGGGGGTGGAGAGGACCCGCATGGACAGTACTGGCTCCATTGTGTCCTCCGACAAGTCCGACTCCGACCAGGGTGAGCCGCACACAGAACATCCCTACTTCTCAACTTAAAACGGGTAAAGGAGCAGGTGTCTCTAGATGACAACAAGGCAGAGGTGGGCACTCGAGTCCCACATAAATAGGCTTCCACCTTGACTCACAGCTCGTACCTAATTAATGAATGCTGAATGGCATCTCAGTGGAACACGTTATTAGCCCACTATAAACCTTAATAGTTAACACACTGGTGACAGTTGACAGGAAAAAATTCTCTTGGAATACACAAACATTTGAGATTTCAGACTTGACTTGGACTCTGATGTAAAAACTTCAGACTTGACTCGGCATTTTGTGACTCATGAACATCTCTGCAACAGGGCACCGATAAACATTTCCTCTCTCCCAACAGAAACCATCAGCACCAACTGGTAACATTTCTGTTATTTCAGTGGATTTCACCTTCTTGAACCGTTATTGTGTACAGTTATTCAGAATTTGTATGTGATATCATAGTGTGCTGAGAGTCATTTGTCTTGTGGGGGAGAAGAAGGATTTATTACAGCACTGTGGAGCCAGTTATCTTATGTGATATGTTTAAAGAATTTTATGCCTTTTAGGTTTGTTTTCTCAAAGACATAAGTCACATTCAGTATCCATCATAGAGATATACACCTATAGGTTAATAAAAAAAGATACCATCCCACACAGCTACATACAGTAGCATTTTTACATCCACATGTCCACTTGAGTGTTCAGTTTGAGCACAGACAGGACAGTGTTTGTCTCTTCTTCCATCAGCTGCTAGCTAGTGCTAGCTCCCGATCTGAGAGCTGAGTGGAGCTGCGATCAGGGTGCATTCATTTTTCAGTCTGTCGCTGTCATAGATGGGATCTGCTACAGTCAGCTAAGGTTTTCCACTTTGAATTACCACAGTCAGTAAAGTGTGACCTCAATGATTTGAGCAACTTTTTAGCCAAACAAAACAGGAACGTATGAAGGTAATTACAGGGTGGATCACCCAAAATGATGCCCCTGTCCCAACATTCAATACAGCATACCTTCACTTTCTCTATTACATCTTGCTTTTTTTTTGTAATGACATACAGTATTGTTCAAAATAATAGCAGTACAATGTGACTAACCAGAATAATCCAGGTTTTTAGTATATTTTTTATTGCTACATGGCAAACAAGTTACCAGTAGGTGCAGTAGATTCTCAGAAAGCAAACAAGACCCAGCATTCATGATATGCACGCTCTTAAGGCTGTGCAATTGGGCAATTAGTTGAAAGGGGTGTGTTCAAAAAAATAGCAGTGTCTGCCGTTGACTGTACAAACACAAAACTATGTTGTACAAACGTTTTTGTTTCTAGGATTTAGCAATCCTGTGAATCACTAAACTAATATTTAGTTGTATGACCACAGTTTTTTATAACTGCTTCACATCTGTGTGGCATGGAGTCAACCAACTTGTGGCACCTTTCAGCTGTTATTACACTCCATGATTCTTTAACAACATTCCACAATTCATTTACATTTCTTGGTTTTGCTTCAGAAACAGCATTTTTGATATCACCCCACAAGTTCTCGATTGGATTAAGGTCCGGGGATTGGGCTGGCCACTCCATAACATTAATTTTGTTGGTTTGGAACCAAGACTTTGCTCGTTTACTAGTGTGTTTGGGGTCATTGTCTTGTTGAAACAACCATTTCAAGGGCATGTCCTCTTCAGCATAAGGCAACATGACCTCTTCAAGTATTTTGACATATGCAAACTGATCCATGATCCCTGGTATGCGATAAATAGGCCCAACACCATAGTAGGAGAAACATGCCCATATCATGATGCTTGCACCACCATGCTTCACTGTCTTCACTGTGTACTGTGGCTTGAATTCAGAGTTTGGGGGTCATCTCACAAACTGTCTGTGGCCCTTGGACCCAAAAAGAACAATTTTACTCTCATCAGTCCACAAAATGTTCCTCCATTTCTCTTTAGGCCAGTTGATGTGTTCTTTGGCAAATTGTAACCTCTTCTGCACGTGCCTTTTTTTTAACAGAGGGACTTTGCGGGGGATTCTTGAAAATAGATTAGCTTCACACAGACGTCTTCTAACTGTCACAGTACTTACAGGTAACTCCAGACTGTCTTTGATCATCCTGGAGCTGATCATTGGCTGGGCCTTTGCCATTCTGGTTATTCTTCGATCCATTTTGATGGTTGTCTTCCGTTTTCTTCCACGTCTCTCTGGTTTTGCTCTCCATTTTAAGGCATTGGAGATCATTTTAGCTGAACAGCCTATAATTTTTTGCACCTCTTTATAGGTTTTCCCCTCTCCAATCAACTTTTTAATCAAAGTACGCTGTTCTTCTGAACAATGTCTTGAACGACCCATTTTCCTCAGGCTTTCAAATGCATGTTCAACAAGTGCTGGCTTCATCCTTAAATAGGGGCCACCTGATTCACACCTGTTATTTCACAAAATTGATGACCTCACTGATTGAATGCCACACTGCTATTTTTTTAACACACCCCTTTCAACTAATTGCCCAATTGCACAGCCTTAAGAGCGTGCATATCATGAATGCTGGGTCTTGTTTGCTTTCTGAGAATCTACTGCACCTACTGGTAACTTGTTTGCCATGTAGCAATGAAAAATATACTAAAAACCTGGATTATTCTGGTTAATCACATTGTACTGCTATTATTTTGAACAATACTGTAGATGTCTGGTCTGAAAACGAGTTCAGTCCCAATAGATTGTTGTACATGCAATTAGACATCCATCCATCCATCCATTTTCTTCCGCTTATCCGGGGCCGGGTCGCGGGGGCAGCAGTCTAAGCAAAGATGCCCAGACCTCCC